AAAGGATGAGATCACTAAATTCTCTGTTAGATGTTGTTGTTGTTATGTGGCGTCAAGTCTTTTGCGACTCACAACGACTCTATGTACAACAGCCCTAAACCCTGCTCTATCCTGTGCCAATTGCATGGCGTCTGACACACCCATCCCGATTACCCCAGTCACTGAATCAATCCACCTCATAAAGGGTCTTTCCCTCCTGCGCTGTCCCTACACCTTACCAAGCATGATGTCCCTCTCCAAGGACCTGTCTCTCCTTACAACATGTCCAAAGTATGTCAGATGAAGCCCCAGAATCCTTGCCTCCAAAGAGTAGCCTGGTTTAACCCTCTCCAGGATAAATCTGTTTGTTTTCTTGGCAGTCCATGGTACATTCAATACTTTTCTCCAGCACCCCAGCTCAAAGGCATCAATTCTCCTTCTGTCCTCCCTAGTCGTTGTCCAACTCTTTGATGCATAACAAGGGATTGCAAAGACCATGGCCTGTATCAGGCGCACCTTAGTCTCCAGAGAGACACCACTGCTCTTGAATACTTTAGAGAGGTCCCTAACAGCAGACTTTCTCATCGCAATACGTTTTTTTATTTCCTGGCTACTGGTGCCAAGAGTGTTGACCATGGAGCCGAGCAAAGTGAAGCTGTGAACAATCTCAATCTCTTCACCATCCATCCTGATGCTACCAGTTGGTCCAGTGGTGAGAATCTTTGTCTTCTTGACATTGAGTCTCAGTCCATACTGAAGGCTGCAGTCCTTGACCCTCTGCAGTAAGTTCATGCGGTCCTCCTCAGTTTCGGCAAGCAGGGTTGTGTCATCTGCATAACGCAGATTGTTAATAAGGTCTTCCACCAATTCTGACGCCACACTTCTCCTCATAGAGCCCGGCCTCTCGAATAATCTGTTCTGCATACAGGTTGAAAAGGTATGGAGACAGGATACATCCATGGCGTACACCTTTCCCAATTTTGAACCATGCAGTGTTACCCTGCTCTGTTCTGACAACTGCCTCTTGGGTCAAGTATAGGTTTCGCATTAGTACAATTAAATGTTCTGGGATTCCCATTCTTCTCAGAGTCAGCCACAGTTTGTTATGATCCACACAGTCAAATGCCTTTGCATAATCAATGAAACACAGACAGACATTCTTCTGGTATTCCCTGCTTTCAGCTAAGATCCATCTAACATCAGCTACAATATCCCTAGTACCATGACCCCTTATAAACCCAGCCTGGACTTCCGGCAGTTCTCTGCTGATGTATTGTTCCAGTCATCTTTGGGTAATCTTCAGTAGAATCTTGCTTGCATGTGAAATCAATGATACTGTTGTGTTCTGATTTCTCTGTTAGATGGGAGTTGTAATTTGAATTAATCACTCCTCAGTAACCCTATATCAGTCATGGACTATGTTTTGTAATTTTATGGAAAAGTATGAATCTCTATGCTGATAGATAAGTGAATAGAATAGGTCACATTACACATTTAATTCTAATAATTAGATCATACACATGGAAACAGACACAATGATATTGTACTAGGGTTTATGTGTGACTACATCAGAAGGAAAGCTAACTTGCCTAAAGATCAGTCCTGACAATATTGCACATACACAATTTTACAGAAAACCTATCAAGGTAAATCGTTTTTGCTTTTATTTGTATTGCACTTATGTTCTATAATAGAAACAGATAATTCTAGGCATCTCCTACTATTATGTATGATCATATTTTAAATTTCTTTGGAATGGTCCAACTGATGAAAGTTGCCATCATTGAAAGGTCAGCTGATTTCACCAATCTTGTGGTTCTCTGAGTAAAACATATGGTGAGAAGAAAAAAAAATCTGTGAAGCTTGCTCATACTTAATGCCTATGTTAATTACTTTTCATGAAGTACTATGTATTTGCAATGTAGCTCTCATACCAAGTACCTACAGGTAAGTTGCACATCTAAACCAAGGTTTGAGTCCAGCAATTGCTCTGTTGGAGAAAGGTGAGCAATCTCCTCCTGTGCAATTTACAGCCTCTAAAAATCTGCTGGATTATCGCCTATAGTTTAGTTCCAACTAGATGGCACATAGCAAGAACAACAACAAAAGCAACATATATTTGACATTTTATGTTTATCTTAAACTATACCCTTATGTATAGAACTTTAGTTCTGATATTAATAATAATTTTCCTCATTAAAATTTAAAGGGGACAATAACATTGTTAATCCTTTTTCTCTTCTGAGAATGAATGAGTTACATTGCAAACTTTGTGCAATGAGTGTAGGCAACAAGGAGATGGTCAAGTCTGACCTATATTAATTCCACACAGGCTAATTGTCCCCCTCAACAACGCTCAAACTCCTGTGAGGTCAGACATAGTCTCCAATGTTCTTGCATCTACTTACACTAACACAAATCTTACTGTTCTGCTGGGTCTGAAGTCCATTGTAATGACCATATAGATCTCAGAGAAGTATGTTCATAGTTATGGGATTTTTAAGGAAATACAAATCAGACTGGTAGCAAGATATAATTCCTCAGTCCAGACATCTTCACACACGTTCAGTTTCTTAGTCCAGACAGCTTTCAAGGTATGCTTGCTGGCCCTTTGACCTTCAAGTTCGCAACTTACATCGGTGTTACAAAGTTCCCTTAGTCTCACCAATTATGATGCCTCCCCTCTATCCTCAAGCAAGTGTGGGTTAAGGCCCTTGGCTCTGGCTTCATGGGACAGCAGCCCCACGTCAGCTCTGTGTCATTTGGGTCTCTAGTTGTCTTTTGAGCCTGCTATAGCTCTCATGTAGATCTTGTTTTGACTGGTGCAGCAATCTCTGGCCCCAAAAGAGGTACTCTACACTTCCTGCTTCCTCTTCCTTGCTGATGGTGAGATTTCTACTTATACTGCTATACTCACTTAATTCAACTCTGTGTTGTTAGGTGCTCTCAAGTTGAGTACAGTTCATAGCGACCTTCTGAACAACCAATCTGAACACTGCCCTATTCCGTCCCATCCTCAAAATCTCAGATACACTCAAACCTATTGTTGCAGGTACCTTGTCAACCCACCTGGTTGAGAATTTTTCTCTCCTTCGTCATCATTGCACCTTCTCAAGCATGGTGTCCCACTCCAAGAAATAACCTCTCCTGGTAACATGTCTGAAGTATATGAGAAGCTGCATCATCTTTGCCTCCAAGGTGTGCTCTGGCTGCACCTTCTCCAAGACATATCTGTTTGTTCTTTGTCCATGAGGCAGTCCATAAGGTCTTCAACACTCTTCTCCAATACCACATTTCAAAGGCATCAATTTTCTTCTGTCATCCCTAGTTACTGTCCAGCTCTCATATGCATAACAAGTGACTGAAAGGTCATGGCCTGTATCAGGCACACCTTAGTCTTCAAATTGACATCATTACTTCTCAATAATTTGGAGAGGTCCCTGACCACAGACTATCTCAGTAAAATACATCTTCTGATCTCCTGACTTCTGGAACCAAGTGTATTGATTGTAGGTCCGAGTAGAATGAGGGTGTTGACAATCTCAATTCTTTAACCATCCATCATGATGTTACCTACCTGTTCACTGGTAAGTTTTTTTGTTTTCTTGACATTGAGATGTCAAGATCCATATTAAAGGCTGCAGTATTTAACCTTCTGCTGTAAGTGTTGTTATTGTTAGATACCCTCAAATCAAGGATGACTCATAGTGACCCTATGAACAAAAGATCCAAACTCCGTTCTATCCTGTGCCATCCTCACACTTCCTGACACACAAGAGTTTACTGCAGCACTCACCATGTCAATCATCCTGGCTGAGAGTCTTTCTCTCCTTTGTTGGTCCTCCACCCTTCCCAGCATTGTGTCCTTCTCCAATAATTGACCCCTCCTAGAAGCATACCCAAAGTATGTGAGATGAAGCCTCAACATTCTTGCCTCCAAAGAGCACTCCAGCTGCACCCTCTCCAAGACTGTTTGTTCTCTTGGCTGCCCATGAGATGTTCAGTGCTCTTCTCCAACACCACAGATCAAAGATATCAATTCTTTCCCAGTCATCCTTGTTCGTTGTTGAGCTCTTTAGTACATAGCAAGTAATCAGAAAAACTATGGCCTGAATCAGATGGATCTTAGCCTTCAAACTGACATCACTACTATTGAGTAATTTGGAGAAGTCCCTAACTGCAGGTTTTTCCAGTGTAAAGCATCTCTTTATTTTCTGCCTGCTGGCACCAAGGATGTTAATTGTGGATCCAAGTAAGATGAAGCTATTGGCAGTTTCAATCTTCTCTCCATCATCATGATGCTGTCTATTGGTCCAGTGTTATCTTTGTTTTCTTAACACTGAGGTGCAATTCATACTGAAGCCTTCATTTCTTGTTTCTCTGCAACAAGTGCTTCAAGTCCTCTTCACTTTCCGCAAGCAAAGTTTTGTCACCTGCATGACACAGGTTGTTAATAAGTCTCCTTCCAATCATGATGCCACACTTCTCCTCAAAGATTCTGCCTTCTTGGATAATTTGCTCAGAATACAGATTGAATAAGTATATGGAGAGATTAAACCCATAAATATTACTATTCTCAATCATATGGCAAAAGTCAAAGTCTCTTTGAACCCTTGACACCACAAACATAATATATTTAACTTAAAACATGTTGTACAATAATTTATGATTGTTTTCTTATTTTGTCTAGTTTATAGATATCAATGTTCTTGATCTAGTTTTTAAAAGAATCTTTAAGAAATAACCCCCCATACAGTAGTGTTATTCTAATAAGGTAATAAAGGAGAAAATGGGTTGATCTTCTAAAGGCCTTTAACACATTATATACACTTTATGGATGTTTAACTTGTCACCAAGTCTAATATCCCTGGAATACAACATTGTTACTATAATAACATCCTGACAGAACTTTAGGTTGTTGTTGTTGTTGTTAAGTGCCGTCAAGTCATAGGCGGCTCATAGCGACCCTATGAACAAAAGTCCTTGACAAGATCTTTAGGTATTGTGGATAAATTTAGCTCATGGGGTATATATTTATCTATATGAATATCTCTCCTTCTCCTTCTATGTGTCTAGAAAACTCTTCACTGACTGTGCTGGTGGATACAAAAGTTGTGCTTTACTGTCCTGTTGTTCCACTGGAAAAAGCGGTTGTAATAACATGGAAAATATTGTTGAGAGACAACATTAATTGCACCAAAGCCCATTTCAAAGAGATAAATAAGAACACGGACAACTGTACTGATAAACGAATAACCTGGCTCTCTACACTTGAGCAGAAGCCTGCCCTTCAGATTGATCCAGTGGCCATCATTCATGATGGAAATTACAGCTGTGAAATTGCAATACCTGATGGAAATTTCCAGCATGACTATGACCTCCAAGTGTTAGGTAATGAACATCATATACTGTGGCATCTTTGAAAATCAGTTTTGGGGCTGAATCAAATGTCTCTCTAAATTCAATATCGTTTGTGCTAAGACTGAAGCATTTGGTTTTTCTCTTACATCTCTACAGTACCCCCCAAGGAAAGCATATATCTAATAGCAAATAGAACTGTGCTGTGCAAGGCTGTTGGAGGGAAGCCGGCTGCACAGATCTCCTGGAGCCCAGAGGGGAACTGTTCCACTGAGCAAAAAGACCACGGTGATGGTGTAGTGTCTGTGCAGAGTGAGTGCCACTGGGTGGAGGACAATGTGACCACTGTGACCTGTTCTGTCTCCCACTTGACTGGAAACAAGAGTCTGTCCCTAGGACTACCTCTAGGTAAGTGATTCTTGTTTGTGTTAGTTTTTTTTTTTATTCTTTAAGAGGAGTTTTGTGAAGAAGGACAACAGAAAGTGCATAAAAATTTCACTAGTTTTCATTCAAGACTGATTTCCTCACTCTTCAGTTTATCTTCTTCCCCTCCCTAAGTAAAGAAATACATCTAAAAGAATATCATAAATGAGTGTTATAAAACTTGTATTTTAGAGTGTAGTTTAATTTAAATTTAATGTTTATCTCTTTTCTAGCAATAAATTAGTTTGTGTCATGTAATTTTAAAAAATACATGCGACTTCAACAGAAAGATAAAAGTATAATTTTGTGTGAGGAGATTTATTACTTTACTAGAAGGATTATTGTTGCTAGTTACTGTTGAGTCAAGTACAATGACCCATAGTGATCCTATGAATAATAGATCTGAATCCTGTTCCATCCTATGCCATCTTCAGTAGAAGGATTAAGTCACCCATAAAACATTTTCACAAGCTTTTATTTTTATAGGAGTATTTTCCCCTCCAGGTTCTTCATAGTAAACTCACTTAAATATCTTACATTACCATCAATGCTTAGGTTATCCCTGTTGAGTCTACTCTTAGCTCCCATCCACTCTTATTTCCTATTTAAAAGTTTGTTGTCATTGTTGAGTGCTGTCGAGTCAAGCATGACTTGTAGCAACCCTATGAACAGAAGGCCTGAAGTCTTCTATAACTATCGTCACTTCTCCAGATTCATAGTTTCCAGAGGCATGTAGTTTAGGAAGTGGATGCCATTTCTGCTTCCAAACCTGTCTTAAACTGGGAACTGTACCAAACTCTGTCCCCATGGGCACCCATTATGGCATTTGACCCACAATGGCACAAGGTTCAGCATAACAGCAACCCCAGATTGCCTCAATGCAGCAAATTGACAGAGGAGTGGTAAACAATTTAGAAGAATGTTCCTCCAAAATGAAATAATGCTAGGCCCTCAGGCCCAACTGACCATTAAATACAATCTCTCTCTCTCTTTCTATCTATCTATCTATCTATCTATCTATCTATCTATCTATCTATATCCACACACATACATATGCTACAATACAAGTAAATCTCCCGCCTTTTTTAAAATAAAATTTTTTATTTTAATTGTGATTTTAACAAAAGTTTACGGAAAAGTTAGATTTTCATTCATTCATTGCTGCACATTTTACCCCCTTTCTCCCTTCACCCTCCCCAAGGTGACTTTTTTAAAATATTGATTTAAAAAATTTTAATACGTTGTTTTCGGGAACAGATTCTTCCAGTTCCCCTCACCCCCCACCCATCAAATTGTAGAACTCCATGATTAATGCCCCCCTCCCCTGCACATCCTCAGCCCTCTGCTTCCACCCTCCCCCACCCTCTAAAATGTAAATATTTTAAAGTGTTGAATTAGGTAATAAACTGTTTTGGCTGTTTTGTTGTTGTTGTTTTAAAAGTGTCTTTATTTTACTCTTTTTTTTTATGTTTGTTGTTGTTTTTGGTATGTGCCAAAAAGTCACCTGTGACTCATAGAGATCCTAGGTAAAATAGCTCTGAACTCTGCTCTATGCTGAATCTCACTGTCTCTGGCACTCATACACCCATTATCCCACTTACTCTATCAATTCATCTTATCTGGGGTCTTCCGCTCCTCCTGCTGCCCCTCCACCCTTCCAAGCATGATGTCCTTCTCCAGGGCCTGGTCTCTTATGGCTATGTGGATCGGAGCAAACTGAAATTGTTAACAACCTCAATCTCTTCTTCCATCTATCATGGTGCTGAAAATTAGCCTAGTAGTAAACTCTTATTATACTCCTCATATAAATATATGTCCATATATCTGGTAGCCTAGTGGTAAGAAGCTGTACTGCAGTTCAAAGACACACAGAATCCACCAGGTGTTTCCACAAGAGAAAGATAAGCAATCACCTCCCATAAGATTAACCGCCTCTGAAAACCTGCTGGAAGGTCAGTTATGGGTTAGTTCTGTCTTGACAGTACACAACAACAACAATTGTTAATGAAAAGAACTCCAGTGATGCAGCGGTTAAGACCTAAACTGCTAACCAAAAGATTGGTGGCTCAAACCCATTTCATGCTCTGCAGGAGAAAATACATTGGATGTGTTTTCATAAAGGTTTACAAGACTGGGAACCTTATGGGGCAGTTCTGTTATGAGCTATCAATTTTCTATGAGTGGGAATCACTGATTGAACTTAGCAACACAATAATTACAATATTTACTTAGAAGAATAATTATGTCCTTGTCATACATTAAATCAAATCATTTAAAATTATAAGATGTGATTAAAATACAGACTCTTGAAATCAGAAGAGACTCTCACTAGGTCTCCCTTATTATTGTAAAAGAAAGATCTAATTTTCCTTCTCTCCTTAAGGAATCCAACCCTCATAAATTTTTCTCTTTAAAAATCTTGATGTAAAATAATGTCTTTCTGTCAGCTGTGGAGTTTGAATTTATAAAATGATTTTATTGTAGTAATTCTTAGAACTACTAAAACACATTGAAAATAAGATCACAAAAATTAATTGCATGCACTGCAAAACATATTTGAACCATATGTTTTTGTTTCTGTAGTTACAGGTAACATATCATCAAAACCCATGGTTATTTTATATACCTCTCTTCCTATTCTAATTATCTTGATCATTGTGATATCTACTTGTTTCTGGAAAACCACTTGTGGCAGGTATTGACTGGTAATTTTTTTCTTTTTCCCTTAATTTTATTGACACTAGAAAAGAATTAGAAATATGAATTACTGGGTACAATTAATATTTTAACTAACCTCTTTACTGTGAAGTCTGAACTGACTGATAGCTAACCCTCCAGCAACTTTTCAGAGGATATAGATTGTGTGAGAGGCAGATTACCCATCTTCTTCCTTCAGGGAAGCTGTTGGATTCAAACTGCCTGCTTTAAATTAGCAGCACAACTTCATATCCACTATATCACCAGACTCCCTAAGATGTGAACAGTCCTCCCATAATCAATAAAAGACCCTGACACTATTAGAGTTGAATACTTCTAATTAAGAGAGATCTTCTAAGTTAAAGAAACAAATAATATAACTGTTGGCAGGGCTTAGAGATTATCTGCTAATTTTCTATGTAGGAAGATAGTTTTAGTAAACTTCTCACGTACTGAAAAGGTGTTCCTACATTTGTTATATCAAGCTTTTGCTACATTTAATTATTTTTTAAAATAAGGGATAATATTTATTGGAGTATATAAATATAACTGTAAGCAGTGTTCTTCCCTTACTTCTAGTAAATTATTTTGGATTTATTATGACTTCGACCAAAATGTACTAGAGATACTAATAGTGTAATATTTTTTCCATTTTCAATCTAAATATTGAAGCTTTGTACATTTAAATAAGAGGGGTTTTTGTTGTTGTTTTCCAGAAAATATAAAATGAAAAAAACAGAAACTGTTCAAGTTTTTGAAGAGGTAAGATAAAAAAGAATATTTGATGGATTTTTAAGTCACAGACTAGAAATCCAGCTATACATTTCTGATTTGCATCACTATTTGTGTTTTATTGGTAACAGGTCCATTACTTTTTAGTTGCTTCCAAATACTATTGCTCCACTGTAAACTTTGAATGCTTGTTTTATTAATTTCATTGTGCAAAACATAATTTTTGTCTAGCTTGAGCTATAATCTTTGTAAAAATGGAATCAATACTTTCCTTCTGAAAAGTGATTTTGAATTCTTGATTTCTCTTTTTTAGTGGTGTCATCACTATTTCATAATTACTCAAGCATATGACTTATTCTACTCTTTATTTTTTTTTTTTAGTTTTTTTGGGTCTGTTTGCTGTTTATTTTTTTTAAATTTTATTTTACTGGTTTTAATGAACATTTACAGAGATTTTGGATTTCCGTTCATTAACTGTTGTACTTTTTTCTCTGCCTGACACGCCCCCCCCC